CATGGACCCTAAAACGATATTTTATTTCAAAATAAAGACGTTGGGAGAGATTTTGTTTCTGATCCTCACCTTTAAACGTAACGAAACATATGGAGATAACGATCAAGATAAAAAGTCCATAAAACAATACAAAATAGGAGCAGAGCAAACACGGACCCCTAAAACATCAGAAGTGGGATCAGGTGCCATGATGGAGTGAGCATCCCCTGCCGACCGGTCACACCCGTCGTGTGCTCCTTGTCATGATCGGGAAATAACAGAAAAATCCCTCAATTCAGTGTATAAATTATGGACGAACTATTTGTAAGAAAAACGTTTGCCAGCATTTGAGTCAATGATAAATTGTTTTTATTGACAAGGTCAGTGTATCGACCATAGGACTTACGAAATGATGACTGCTGATATTCTTGTTTCATCAACTTGTGTGTCAAAAAGTTAACTTGTTTTAGAAATTGTTCATAAGTAGAGCATGTTCCTTTCTTGCGTATTGAATCAACTGAGATATATAAACAGGTGATGAAGGTACATTGCTTCAAGTAAGAGAAGTTGACGATAGAAAAGTTAATGTTATCACGTTTATCATGGAGCTTGGTTGTTAGATTACCATTAACGTCTTTTTCATGAAAAATATCCAAATATGAAACAGTTGTGTCAGACTCTGTGGTATCTTTTATGTCAAGCTCACCAGGATATATCATGTCGACATACGAATGGAAATGACCATTGTTAATTGACAAAACGTCGTCGATAAATCTAAATGTCGAGTTGGAGGTTTTTTTCTGCTTCATATGAGTACGAAAATAGAGCTGCTAATAACGGTGGAAATTTCAATAGATTTTTGGAAGACATGGTCTCTAAAAACCACATACTAGGTATTGTCAATCAGAAAGTCAAGCATCTTTTTTATGTCAACTTCAGAGTACTTTTGTGTACAATCAGATTTTTTTAAACAAAATAATTTTGCAAATGACCAAGTAAGTAAATTTACGAGTTCCATTTATATTGAAAAGGCAGCTTTGAATGATATCAAAAAGCCTGGGGAATGGCTGTGTATAAAGTTGAAAATCGTACGTTTTTAAGCTGTTGATTAAAAATAAAATCTTATGATTTAAAATTGTCTTAATATCTCTTGGAATTTTTAAGTATCCACGTCTGATTTACACCACTTCTTGAATTTATTGCATATGTTACCTCTCACCCGACATAGTGAAGAGGACAAATGTATTTTTTTCAAAGAGGAGAGTCAAAGACCCCTTCGTAAATAATTAAAACAAGGATTTATGAATATTATTGTTCTCCGATTATCAGCTGTGTTTCACTCACCCCTAGGATTGTTCTGGTTAATTGCTTTTCTCGCCACGTTTCAAAGGGATCTTTACATGTATCAGTCCATATTTTTTATGGGAGAAACAAGTCCGGGAACACGTTCTCTTTAGTAACCGGTTTTTCACTAACTTGTTTTTTGAAATACATTTTTAAGGGAGACGAGGCGTGGGACATATAATGAATATATTTATTTCACAAATCAGTAAATAAAATGACAAGTAGGCGGACATCAAAATGTACAACACCTGATTTCTCGTAATATCATTAGTAGAGATTTCCTCCGATGGTTGACCACTGGCGATTTGTAATTTGATTGAGAAACGAATTGTATAACGGGAAACTGGAATTTGATGTGATATTGTGGCATTCACCCATGTGTGATCTCCTATCATAATTTACATTCCCTTGTATCGTTAGCTGCGCTGGAGATAAATCTTTCGTCACATTTGTATTGAGTGATATTGCTAGACTTACACGTCGCTGTGCTGCATATTAGAAGAAAATGGCACATTAGGAAGTAGACAAGGATTAGTTTTTGCGATCGATTTACAATAGGAATTTAAAGTAACGGAGGTGTATTACGTGAAGACACGTCTCCAGTATGGAAAAATCTCATTAAGAATTTATAAAGTTGATAATTTTGTTAGGCTATTTAAGTATTTAATAATAACAATATTGATAATATTGTAAGACTATTTTAAGCATTAATCTCATTATAAATTTACAAAATTGATAATTTTTCCAGACTATTTTAAGCATTAATTACTTTAGGCGCAGAGATAGTGACTCTCCGATAACGGATGATTGTTTCGATCGAATTCTTTATAAACGATGCAATTCAAGTTTAAAGCTTTACGAGTACCTTGATGGTTTAACTTTAACTTTGGAAAAGCAGATTTGATATTTGTCTCTACGAAGGATTTTTTTCCGGGAGAACAATTCTGGTGTCAAAGAAAGACCACCTCATTTTTTCCCTAATTTCTTTTTCTACACAATTTGTACCCAAACTTGTCTCCTTGTCTGTAAAGTTAACTTTGATGTTTCTTTATCACTGAAATATAAACATTATAACTGTTTTCACCATTTTAGTTTGCGCCTTTCCTCATTCTAAAGGCTCTTCTAATGAATCTTCGTTGCGCAGTTGTTAGCTATAGACGGTAGGACTAGACTTTGCCGAGCTCATACCTACGGATTCAAATCCTTGCCGATCGCAAAGAGCCGACCTTTGCGTTGTCCTTTTGTTAATTTTGCACTTAATTCCAGGCAGTTATTTACAATGAAACATATAGAGATAACGAACAGTATTCGAGATCAAAAGCCCATAAAACGATACAAAATAGGAGCAGAGCAAACAAGGACCTCCAAAACATTAGAGCTGGGATCAGGTGCCATGGAGGAGTAAGCATCCCCTGCCGACTCGTTTTTCCTATTATGAGAAGGAACGCACGATCGTTGTGACCGATTGGCAGGGGATATTCACTCCTCCATGCCACCCGATCACATCTCTTGTGTTTTTAGAGGTCTGTGTTCGCTCTTTTCCCGATTCGTATTGTTTAAATGAACTTTGAACTTGATTATTGTTTGTTATCTCCATATTCCATTTAACATAGTAAATATATAAAGTATTTTTTTAAAGAATGTGTAGTAACTAAAAGTATGATATTATTCAGAATGTATAATATCTACTGAAAAAGACAATGTATGTATTTTAGGCTACAGAAGCAGACATTTTATAAAAACAATAAATTACAATAGAATAATTTGTAGATTACGACTTGACTCCATAAATGACTAGACATTTCACACTAAAACAATTGATTACAGTTAATTACTTGTCATCAAATAATACGTGTATAACAAAATCAGTTCCTTATATTAGGAAATATAATTTCGTCTAGACAGGGTAAAGTGCCCGTTTTGCGTGCCAAATAGTATTGGATATCTTCCCTAAATCTGAGTAATCTCGAATTTGTCATAAACCAGGGTATAAGGATGTCCAGAAATAATTCTTAACAACGGATTTACAGCAAATTACAGTTTGTTTTAAAAAAGCGTGTATGGATATGATGATTCTAGACGGGGAAATTTAAAATGTCTTCACAAACAGAACAATGCTAATAAAGAATAAGTTAGATTTGTTTGGAGAAAAGGAGCTGTAAATAAATTCATTATTAATGGGAAAATTGTTTTGTTGTATAGCTTATCAGTTTTCTTATATCGGATATTAGCAAGTACCAAAAAGTGTTTAACCTTATTAATGGATGTGTATAACGTTGTATCATGGAGATTTTATGTAAAACATATCTATAAATAATTGATTCACACAAATAAAATGTGAATTAAAAAATGAAGACAGGTGATTAAAAACAATTCTTTGTTGGACAAATATATTAGAGACAATTACAAGGGAATACGGACACAAAAAGTTATTAAACGCCATTTTTGAGTTCAAACTCCTAACTTGATATTGGACATTTGTGTAGCATCTACTTCCTCTGAGTAACAGTTCCAAGTTGATTCGGTTAAATTTCTTAAATGCCTATTGGAATTCATTAAAGAACAAACGCGAAATTTGCAGTCATTTCATATTTCACTAGGTAAAAAAGTTAAATATTAATTTTATACCGGAATTTTGAGTTCATCTGAATTTAAAACAAAAATAAATATAGCGATTTGTTTGCAGGCTTTAGCGAGACAGATTCATTGCATGCTTTATAGTAATAAAGTAATGCATCTTAATTCACTTTGTCAGTGTTCTCAGACAGATTTGAGGTTTTAACCAATAATTCACGACACAAAAAGATTTTCTTCTCTGGAATCGCAGAGAAGTTGACACTGGAGGTGGATAATTCTAGTTTACCAAATAATGATTTTCTTCTCTGAAATTGATTAAGAAAAGAGATTAAAGTCCGTAGTTCCTTTGAAATACAAGAGAAGTGTTTTAAGGTTTAGCTAGAAAATTTGTCAGAAATTCCACAATTTAATCATTAAAGATTACAATCGGAGCCACTCTTATTTCTAAAACTTATATTTGTTTCTTGATTGCATTCTAGTCTGATAATATTTTTTTTTCTTCGTAATGGGGGTCATTTATTTAATTTATTTATGAATCTAAATTGATGACGTATTTTGTTTTGTTTTTTTTTTTTTTTTTTTTTTTTTACAGATGTTCATTTGTTTGTACATTTGTTTGTTTTGCTTTTTTTCCCTTTTGTGTTGGTAAAGCACATATATTTTTGACCCTATTGCACTTGTTATGGATGTTAAATATTGTTTCCTATCCACTAAGTGTAAATATATGCTTAAGACCAAAAAAAATCTGGAAATCTCAACCGTCAATATAAATAAAGTATTTAATATAAAACTGAAATTGGCAATAAATAGAAATTGATCTAAGGGACTGACAGCGATTCTAAAGAACTATCGGATTGAAAATTAAAGTACATGAATACTTACCTTTTACGAACTCAGCATGAGTGTTTTAGTGGTTAAGAATTGGGATCCGATATCGGATATTTTCTCATTCGATCAATCAGCATTTGGTTTGAAGCTTTGTAGTATGGGATGAATAAAGCAAAGCTAGAATTCATCAACCATATTACGTGACATCGACGATCTTCGACAAAAAGGGAACTCAGTTCGGGTTTAATATTTTCTTTTTTCCTATTTTGCAGATAAATAGAGATCGATACCAATGCACTTTTAAATTCATCACACCTCGATTTTCCCTAGAATTATACTATACAGAGCAGACGTGAGGACACCCCTTAAATAAGGTAAATCATATAAATATTTTATATTTTTTTCTCAAAATTTGTGTACCCTAAGTAAAATGTATCAAATATCAGGATGCATTTTTCTTTTTAAAATGATTGTAAAAAAATTAACAATGATAAAAATGCAGCATTTACAATTCACCACTGTCATTTTGTCATTGTTAACATATATTTAAATTCTTGCATAAGACATAAGAAAATTTCTTTGCAAACCAAATTCAAACAAAACAAAATCATACAAATACCGGGTATACTTATTAATCAAGAACAGCTGATCCAGAGGTGTGGCTTCTTTGATGATCGGTGATTAAGATACCCATGTACCTGATAGAAAGTTAATTTTCTTGGATTAGTGTTCTAAAACACTATCCTTAAAGATATATCTATACACAGAGAAATATTTTATAAGACAAGTTGTCTTTTTCTATTTTTCGATAAATGTTTTCAAAATAAGAGTGTGTTTGATAATGTTTTATACGTATTGCTGTTAGGGGTGTTCGAATAATATTTACATTACCAAATAATTTTCCTTAAGATTCTTTGCAAATAGGAAGACTGTTCATTTTCTCATGAACTACCATAGATGAGCATGAATATCTTCATTGGTACGTCTTAATAGTTCGCTTTACCTCAAAACTATAGTGCAAACTGTTTTGCTTAAATCAACAGCTTAAAAACTTACGTTTTCAACTTTGTACACAGCTATTCCCCACGATAAATTCAAATTCAGGCTTTTTGATATCATTTACAGCTGCGTTTTAAAAAAAAAATGGAACTCGTGAATTTACTTACCTGGTCATTGGTCATTTGCAAAATTATTTTGTTAAAAAAGATTCTGATTGCACACACAAGTACTCTGAAGTTGACATCAAGAAGATGCTTGAGTTTCTGATTGACAATATCTATGTGGTTTTTAAGGCTGGTCTTCCAACAATTGTGGAATTCATGAGAACCAATTGCGCTCCGTTATTAGCAGACCTATTTTTGTATTCATATGAAGCAGAATTTATGCAAAATCTTATGCGTGAAAAGTGGAAAACACTTGCTGTGGCCTTCAACTCGACCTTCAGATATATAGACGACGTATTGTCAATTAACAATGGTAATTTCCATTCCTAATATACGATATATCCAGGAGAGCTTGAGATAAAGGATACCACAGAGTCTGGTACATCTGTTTCATACTTGGATATTTTACTTGAAATGGACGTTAATGGTAACCTAACAACCAAGTTATATGATAAACGTGACGACTTTAACTTTTCTGGGTAATTTGCCAATTATCAGCAATATACCTTCATCACCTGCATACGAAGTGTATATATCTCAGTTGATTCGATACGCAAGAGCATGCTCTACGTATGAGGTAAACGAGGTAAATTATTGATAAGCAAGTTGATGAAACAAGAATATCAGCAGTCTAGTTTAAAGTAATCATTTATGTAAGTGAAATTTAATACAATGACCTTGTCAAAATACAATTTATCATTTCAAACACTGTGGACGTTTTTCATACCCATTGTTAGTCCATTATTTATACACTGAATTGACGACGGATTTTCCCGTTATTTCACGATCATGACAATGAGCATGCTGGCGGGTGTGACAGGTAAACATGCTAAGTGGATAGTTATAATCCTCCATGGCACCTGATCAAAATTTTGAATTTCATGGCTTTTGTGCTAAAATATTAGCCAAATTCAATGTTGGAACTTTGATATTGAATACTCAGGTGACGTTATCTCCATATCCTTCTTTAAAATTGACAGCTGAATGGCATAAATTCTGTGACAACTCAACAGAAAAATAATGTAAATATAAAAAATGAATTTAATTTTTGAAGATTCGTGAGCTTTATGAACTACAACTCATCCTTAAAGATATATCTTAAACGAGAAATGCACTTCATGAAATATGACAAGTTGTCTTTTCCTATTTTTCGATAAATGTTTTCAAAATAAGAGTGTGTTCGAATATTATATACTGAGTATAACGTAATTAGGTCAAGAATGAGGTGCAGGTCTGCTTGTATTTGACCTTTGGATATCCATCAGATATGGTATATGATTTGAGTGGCAGAATAATTACTTATGTCTGTGATGGTAAACCTAACAGTGTACCGTAGACAATGTTAACTCACCCACGATTTTGGCAGGCTGCACATGTAGGACGGTCCAAAATCAGTAGTCTGTCTTAAAAGTAGTCTGTTTTTACAATTATTTGTTTTTTATCTTATCTGAAGGAAAAGAAATAAAAAAAAAAGATACCGACCAATTATTATTCTATAGCAGCTATTCCATAAATCACAGATTCATGTAATGAAACTGGGTTCCATGACAAGGGAGAAAAGACATGTTTATCACTGAACGAAACCACTGTAAACAAGAAAATAAAGAATCTAATATCTAGCGAGTTGGAGCAGATTCAAGCCCTTTCGCAACACAAACGAAGATATAGTGATTGATTGAAGATCTACAAAACCAATTAGAACCGTGCCCGGAAGTTACGCGATAGAAATCAAAAGGAATGTAGCCTCGTTTTCACTCCCACAAGAGCATGTTATCCAACAGATACAATGTCTTGTCAACAAAAAGAGGAAATGCCCTGGAAAGTGTTGTGATTTGTTTGAAACCAAATAAGAATTCTGTCAAACATACACGCAGACTTCATTATATTAATTTCAATGACGTGTTAGCATCTTTTTAATTATAGTACTGTAATATTACGGAATATGGTTAGAAGGGTTATTGAGATGTACAATTCCTATAGTTTCGGAGTTAAATTTTTTTTTACCTTTAGGACGATTTTGGATTGAAATAATTATCATTTTTTTTTAAATTTAAACTTAGTTCCCTGAACTTCTTTTACAATTGTTCCGGTAACTGAATCTTCTTTTAAATGGTGATAAGCTTCAAGTGGTATCATAGTGATGTCCAATAAGATTTCAGAAGTTTACATCTTGAAGGCCAAATGGTAAAAAATGTTTTAGTAAGCAAAACCTGGTTCCCTGGACGCCTCTCAGTTTTAACAGTAGCCTAATCATATTTGATTTTGAGTAAGACAGGGAGTGTTGTGTATATGTGCATTTAGGTTTTGGAATGATATGCACCGATAGTCATTTGAAAATAGCACGGTGTGCCTGGAGTACTAGTTTCACTTGAAACCAAAGCAGGCGACAATTTTGTGGGTCTTTTGTATGTCTGACATTAAAAGCGCGTTTATATCATGTTCGGAATTGTTTCACCGGCAGTAGAAACCTTTTTATGGTGATAGCCTGATTAACTAATGTGTCGATAACGTCGTGATCATTGTTTCATCATAGAGAAAATTTACTTGTTTTATTCCATAACTTTTTGATAATTACTAGTGTAACTTTGCCCAAGGGGTTATCCAACCGATTGTATTTTTATGCATATCAGAAATTTTACAAACATTATAGTTTTTAAATAGGCCATTAGTAATAAAAGATAATCGATTTTTCAGAGCTCGATGGATTACATATTTTGCTGCAAATCTGTAACATATACTATAGCAATTTAAAAATCAAGCCATTTAAAAATGGTTCATTTATTTGTTTTGATGTTTAAATTATAAAAGAAATGTCAGAGGTGACTTGATTTGGAATCTGTTTTTAGTCATATGTGCCTACATGTACATCACAAACTTTCTTAAATAAACATAATCCTATTTGGTAATACACTAATTCTTTGAACGAGAATTTCGTATCACCTCTTACTTGATAGTTTTATTTGAAGAATACAAAAATATACCCAATCATTCTTACACCGCCTCTGTGTAAATGAAAACAATTAAGGTGTGGTGACTCCATCGGGATTATTTTCCTATAAACTTGATGTAGGGGCATTAGGTATTTGACTCTTGTTTATGAATGGTGTATTGAATGATTGTTAGACAACATTTCTTATTTTTAGGTTATATTTAGATTATTAAACCTCTTAAAGTTTTAACCGGGGTAGGGGTCTTTTTTGGCCGATTGATTTTATATTCAGAGAAGTTCAGATAAATCTGAGAGATCGTAATAAATTTTAATACCACTGCCTTTTAAAGAAGTAACCATATCAAATCTTATCATAAAGTGTATAATTCAACTGAAACCAAACCTGTCATAGTTATAAGAAATAAAGAAACAATTTATCAAAACTGGAAATAGAAATTTCAAACTGCTTTATCAAACAGTGTGTGAATCCTACACCTAAAAATAGAACTTGTTTGAATAAAAGAAAATTTTAAATAGCTATAAACGGAAATGAACTGATGAAATGAGCCGAATCGATCTACAAATTGTTTAATAAAGGGAAAAACTGTTGGTAGCTGTACACTCTTGCTTTGAATTAAACAACTGATGTTAAGTTGACAATATCAATACAGAAGCCCTAAGGACGTTATCAAGTGGGTTATGAAGCTGTTGTCCTTGGGTAGCCAGGAACTTCAGCGTCCAATCAGAGGTCACTTCCTGTTTCCCTATTCTCACTCTGCCTTGTTTCATGCTATTATCATTAAAAAGGGTTTTAAATCTTCTTTTGTTTGCAAAATTTCTTATGCAATTTATTATCGCAAAACCATTTTCTTTTATTATCATATATTAAGCACATATGCATGTATCATTCATCAACTGCAGCACACAATCTTTTGCTATGTGAAAGTAATTAAATAGAGTATGATGAGTTGTGTAGTCTTTCGAATGCAAGAAATCACCAAAATTTGCATTGAATTAGGCACTTGTATATATACATGTAGGCCAAGGACAAGGGAAACAACTCTTCCTGACAGAGACAACAATTCTCTGTATCTACCATACAAGTGTCAGTCCATGCAAATTTTCCTTCTATATGCAAGATTAGTTAACATAAACTTCACTATGTAAAAATTCAGCACAAAATTCAATTTGTTCAAATATTGAAGTATGGGAGAATCATAACTAGGAAATGCTGGGAGATTGTTACCCAAATTATTTAACCTTAAAAATTGTCTAATGAAAA